TCGGTTTTTAAATTACACATTTTCCCGGCAGAATGCAGTTGTACGTGTTCGCTCAAGGACACAGTACTCCCCATTGGCGTGGTCAGTTAAGTCAAAACTGGCCGCATGGATAGAGGTGTGTGGCATGATGTCACCATAACAGCTGTTGTCAACTCCACTTTTCAAGCTACACACTTAGTCGCTCTTCTTTTTTTTTTTTTGGTCACACCTCATATGTAATGTGTAAATATATGTACAGCTAGCTTTATGAAGTTTCTTAATTTGGCAAAGTTTGATGATCACTGATTATCTAACAGCTGTAATTTATGTTGAAAATTATTTTAAAAAATATCCCACAGAGTAATTCATGATTTTTCATTTGCAAAAATATTTTAAAAATTTGCCCTTTAGAGGATTTATAAGAGCAGCTACTTTGTAAATGTTAAGAAAGGGGGGGATTGACTTAAAAAAAAATTAACTCTTGTTCCAAAGCTTTCCAAAAAATTTTAGAAAATACAAACATAAGATAATGAATAATGTTATTTACTTCTTAAAGTTGATTACTTATAAATAGAAGAAAATGATTTTATTTGATAACATATGTCAAGTTCGAGACTGGAAGAATTTCAAAAACTATTTAAGCATTATATTTTGATGTCTTCTTGAAATTGCAATCCAGTGTCTATCTTCAGTTTGCTGTTTAAATAATGACACAAAAGAGCAAAGCAAAAACATTTTTAATAACGTATCAACAACCCAAATAACCGAAATGTCAAATTTAAATATAAAAACTACACCTTGTTTAAGTGCTTATGATTCTAATGTTATCGCAACTACAAATCTGCTGTGAAACTGTAAAAAAAGGGGTAATTAAAAAGCTGTTGAAGTCATTGTTGAACATTGTACAAAACCACAAAGACATTGATATTTACAAGCACATTTTGCTGTTCATGCATGAGAAGCAAATACACAAAAACAAGAGACACGTTATGCAAAGCTTTTATAAAAGCATGATGATATAAACACAGTAAAAATAAGATCTAAATGATGTATGGAGAGCAATCACCTACTTAAAAATTAATTAAAATAACATGCCAAAAAATTATGATGACATAAAATGTCAAAATGGGAGGTTATTTTCTTCCCCAAATCTCCACCTCCATTAGTAATCAATCCTTGACACATCTCTTTTAAATATACACATTCAAAAAATTAATGTAAGTAGCAGAGTATGGCATTAGAAAGAGAAACAATGTCATATTATAGTACTAATTTTATCTTGATGTTATAAAAATTCATGAAATTAATGATCTTAAAGTTTGAAAGTCAAAGAAAATAAAACGAATTCAGGCACTTTTAAAAGAAACTGATTATTTAATGATTAAAAGTATAAAAATATAATTAATGTAAATATATTATTTTAAATATATTTAATACAAAAATGAAAATAATTAAACTTGCAGTTTTTATTAAAATTTAGTTAAATAACACTTAAATAAACTGTATCCAATTTTAAATTTTCATAATTTTTTTAATATACGTTATGTAAAGACCAAATATTTCCGTAATATAGTATATTCATAAAATTGAGAATAACTACACAGTGGAAAGTATATCATAAGATATAATATAAAATTAGTCGGAATACTGCTTTATTTTAAGTAAACAGATAAAAGTAAAAATGTGACAATTTGTTGTCTACTTATTCAACAATGCATATCGTGTCTCAAACAAACTATCACTATAAAATGATTAATAGTGATTTAAATCTTAGACTATATATATATATTTACTAAATTTTACAAGGGTATGCCAATTCAGTAAAACTTTTGGAAAATAACCGTCATTCTTTATAAACAATAATAACAGTAACACTAAAGGAAAAAACATGATGTAACAAATTTTTCATAGTACTAAAATTACAGCCTCTAAATTTAAAGAGGATTATAAAAACTCATTAACTTTACTACGCAAATGAGATACAAATTATGCATAAAAATTGAAATAACTGTCTTATAATTACAAACCTAATTTTGTATACAACAAGTATAGATACATTAAAAGTTCACCAATTACTGTTCACCAATTAACATAATTAAAATATTTAAGCAGACCTTATATAATTCTAAGAAACAGATTTGTTTAATTATGGATACCTTCATTTTTGACATGAAAATAAAATATATGTTTACCACTTGAAAAATTGGAAAAACATCATACAGCTATAACAAGAGTAATAAAAACAAAATATATTTTTAAAAAAAATTTTTATGTAGAGTAGTTTATGTCAATAGTAAATTAAACGCTAATATAAATACAAATGTTCAAAACTGTTTACTGATCTGATTTAATTCAGACTTTCACTTAAAATGCAGTAAGACAAGCATTATAGTTATACTTTGAACATATTCTGCTATGACAGATACATAGTATATATACAATACACCGGCAGCAAGTAAACAAACTACTAACACATCTATTTCCATATAACATTAACTACCCTGTAGAAACTGACAGTCTAATAATGGCACACTACAACTTTGCATAGCAAATGTTCTGCAATCACTTAGTTTCTAATGTTACATAGTTGCTGGATAGCAAAATGCATAATAGGTAAAAGGTTTGAACAGTACATAATACTCAACAAAGAAAGGAATCAAATTTTTAGCACCTCTGAAATTAAATTTATGTACTTATAAATATTTAAGCAAAAAGACCAATAAAGCATGACATAAATTATAATAATTATAAGGAAATGCATAATATGAAAATACAAAAATTAATAAATATAATAAAAAATAATTTGTTCAGTTTTTCATTTTCAACCATCTGCATAGATATCATGCAAATAAGTAGATTTCTTAAAATACCCTAATAATTATTTTGCTAAATGTTACATGGGTGCCCACAGATACATAAAAGGAATTAATAACTCCAAAATAAATGCAGTTTCACTGAAAAATTTTATAGCTTGGCATACAAATATCCAAATTATTGTTAGGTTTGAAAACAAAAATATTTTCAGTAACCATGTACGAATATGTATGCACAGTATAAAATAAACATTTAATTCATATGGTAACTAAAGTTACTAAAATTATATGAACCATGTGTGTTAGACTGGGTAAGCAACAATTTCAATTAGATTATGCAGTAATAATAGATTACAGCACTATATTTTATTATTATTATATATATATTAAAATTACACTGTAATAATAGATTTTAAAAGTCAATCAATAAAAATCCAGATTATAATAAAATTATATGAAATGCTTTAAAATGAAGTAGAGGAAGTACAGAATTCCAGTGCTGGGATAGAAGTTTCTAAAATATTTATCACATAGTTAATTAAAATATCAAATCTTTCCTAAAAATGAAGCAGACCTTATATAATTCTAAGAAACAGATTTGTTTAATTTTAAAAAAGGGGGTCAATTTTCAAAATTAAATGTCTTACAAGGAGTTCATAGCAGATACATGATCACAAATATTGATTTCCTAAGAGAAGTAATCAAATAAAACTACTTAAAATTAAGAAAACATTAAGTATTTTCTTCAAATGATTTTGACATAAACTTAAAAACTGTTTACCACGAACACTTCTACCAATGGCAAATTTTTATGTTAAAAAACATGAAAGGAACGAATGAAGGTGGTTAGGAACAAAATCTCACTGCAACCCTTTTCCCTCCCAAGTCTGAAATTGCGAAAATCATTTAAAATAACCTTTGGCAATGAACAAAGTTTTACACACCACAAAATGAATCTTTATATTAGCAGATCTTAGGTAGTAGGAAAATATCAATGTTTTTTACATTATGTTTAAATATTTAAAGGTTAAACATTTTGCATTCACAATTTTAGCCCTTGTTAAACACTGAACTATAAACAAAAATGTTCAACTGTTATTATTTTATTTGCATAACTAGTCACAATAAATTACCTACCCACCTTGTGCTGTTATTAAACTCTATACATGCACAACAGCAGCTTGTACACATAATCAGATATTATGTGAATATAAAATATATTTCATTACAGACTAGAAGATGCATATAAATTATATATTCATGAATTATTGCCATGCATGTTTTAATTATACCAAGCAGTTATATACAAATATCATATTATTATACTAGATATGTATCTGTTTAATTTTAAAGGTACTAAATGCATAATTAAGATCATTACAGCTTTCATGAACCTATAACTTAAGGTCTAAAATATACAAAAAAACTAACTGAAAAAAGCATTACTGATGAAAATGAACTATATAAAAGTAATATATTAAGATGAAACCTCAAAGTTATTTGCTCTTAGCTAAATATTTTAAAATGAAGAAAAGAATAATTAAACATTATTGCACAAATAATATTTGTGAATATATATTCAGTCCCATCTGGCATACTAAATAACCATAATAAGAAAGCTCAGATTCAGAAATGTATGTATGTAGACACATGTGTACGTATGTAGTGTATGTATATATGCATGTGTGTACACACACATGCATAAATGTATATAACTACATCTACACGCACATGTATACACATAAACATTACTAAATCCAGTCCTGATAACAGAAGAGTAACAGAAATAAAATTTTTTTCAAAACATTAGAAACAAATTTTAATAATTTTTAACTCTAAAATTATTATGCATTATATGTATTTCAATTATTTTAACAATGTCTAGAACAAATTTCCTTTACTGATATAAAATTCTTAACAAATTTTATAACTTACAACTTAAAATAGATTTATCTTCATGTTTTACTTCAATGAATAACTCTTATACTATCATTCTCCTTTCATTTTATTACACTATGGAAAAATAAAATGGAAGCTATGAAGTTCAAAATAATATTTATACTAGCTGGTATAGAATTAATATATGTACTATTATACAATATAATATGAACTATTTCATAAGCTGCATTATTTTAAACTATTTATAAATTATAAACAATTGAATAAGATAGCAAGTATGTATATATATATAATTTATAATAAGAAAACTTTCCATATACCATCTCCAAGGAACACAAATTCAATTTAAAACCATGAATGAAAAAAATTCTTTAGTCAGAATTATTTAAATTAGTATTTTATATAGTAATTTCAACTTCTTGTTTAATAATCTGCAGATAATTTACAATCAAGGACAATAACTAGTTTTTTAATATTTAAAATTTACTTTTGTTTTGGGTATTTTTTGCATTATTAATAATTAAATTATTAATAGAGAATTTACCCTAAGAAAAGAGGAAAAATACACTATTTATTAAATATATCTACTTTGAAAACTAACATATGCCGGGAAATGGTTTAAGAGATACTATAAAACAAATATAAAATAGATTAATGTACCTAGAATAACAAATGAAATGTAATAATTTACTTCTTTAAAGAATTTACAATTTTTTAACAAACCCAAAGTAAATACAAATACTGTCAATAAAATAGAAAAAGTTAAAAAATGAAGACTATAGATATCATAAGGGCCTCAACAAATGAATTAGGAAACTGGATAAATTTATTAACAATTAAATTTAATTAATGTTAAATATATTACAGTATCTTATTGCAATAAGCATTTTAATTGAAAATCATAAAACCACATATGCTGCCACATATTGTTTACCACTGTGGCAAAGCACAGGAAAATTAAATGAAAGAAACATTTATTCGAGAATAATACTAAGTAGAAAAACAATGCTTCATACAACCAATGTTAAAACAATACTAAACATAAGTTTAAAAAAAAAACAATGCTTAATATGACCATCAAAAATAAAGAAAGTTGTTTGCCAAATGAGTATTGCAGAATAGGTAACATCACTTTGTCAGGTTCCTCGGCATCGCCCTACACTGTGTGTAATACGTGAAAGCAGTGGTGTAGCTAGGGTGGGACAAGGGGGGTTTAGCATACAGAAGGCACGAAATTGATGATACACATTTCAGAATGAAATGCTTTCCATTCTTGGAACACAGAAAGGAGCGCAAAATCTTTAGGTGTCCCCGAGCGCTGAAAACCTTAGCTACGCTTTTGCGTAGCATTGCATTGTAAATGAGTATTTCTTAAATAACGATAAAATCCTAAAAGTCACGTGTTTGAATTCTATTCTACAGAAATTAAATCTTAATGTTGCTTTGTAACTGGCACACAGATGATACATGATTGTATAATATAGATTTCTATTAGATTAGCCAACTTCTCAAAATAATAAGTGACCTTCAGTATGAAGTCGTGGACTAAGTAAATTATCACCAACAATTTTGTTATATGGAATTAAATCTTCATACGGGTTAAAAATTTATATAAAATTTTAAATCTTTACTAATGGAAAAATATGATTATGAAATATGTAGTGAAAAAAATGACATTTTATCAATAATTTCATAAATGAAAATTAAATCATTCTTAGATAGCCCCATTTGACACCATAATGATTTAGTAATATAGTTCTTTTTATATGTAAAGAAATTTCAAGGTGTATAAAAACTTTCTAGTAACATAAATATTAAACATCTGTTAACAACAAATTTCTTCAGAATGCTGAGGATGTTACTCAAATTTCTCATTAACCAATATTTACATATATATAATTTAAATTATTTAAATATTTCTCTGCTAAAATGTAAACTGAAAAAAAAAAAAAAAAATCACTTACTAGTTACCTAAATTAAATAGCAACTTTTTCCATTCTTAATATGTGTTTCATCTCATCTGCAATATGGGCACCCAGTGATAAAAATTATTGCATGAATAAAATGTTTAACGATACTAAATCTATTTTGTTGTCCAGAAACTACAATAGATAAGTACTTAGGAAAACATCCTGCTACATTCAAAATGTCAATTTCACACGTTTCCAAGTTTTACATCAATTATGCTTTAAACTGAAAATGAAATTTTCATTTACTATACATTACCAATACACAAATAAAGTCACTTAGGTACTTTAGCTGATACAGAGCAGAAACATACTTTCCCTTGAACAAGGTCAAAGCATTATTTCCAATTTGAGCCATCCTTTTACTGCTTTGAAACTATATTACAGTGAGTAGGTGGGATATAAAGAGAAATCAGTTGTTTCAGAAGCAGATCAAGTGCATAGGAAATTCTTTGATTTTATGTTTTGCTCCTGACACAACTGATTAATTAAAATAACTAGGCAGATGATCAAGGCTATGAAATGCAATTATTATCTATGAACAGTTACAAAACTATGTAACCATTCACCTCAAGATAGAGGCATTAAGTAAAATAACATATGATGTTTATGAATTCTTATTGCATAACATTTTTCTAGTGTGATAAGCTCTGTATAAAAAACTGTAGTTGAATGACAAAAAACCAGGAAATTTCCTAAATGGCTTTTTTACTAAAAGTTCTATTAGTCCTTGTGGCTCTTGGTGCTATGTGTAGTGGCAATGATATCTGTCTTTTGCATACATTTTGTGATTAATTCTGCTATCAACTGCTAGGGAATTATGAAACGTTGTACAGATTAAAACTTTTAACTTGTCACAGATGGAAGCAGATTTCCTAAATTAAAAACCAAGCATTAACGACAAAGCAGTCTAGCATTAACCCCACTATTCACATATCAGAGGAGATTAATTTTGAGTCAGTTGTACAGGAAGTTCATTTTCTGGGGTCCTCAGTAATTCGTTTTCTGTCTCTGACATGTTTTCATTGACCGATGGATCAACAGATGCATTTCTTGATGGCCTATCCAAATGATCGCTGCCATTACTGCAAACAGGTTCATTATCAGTCATTCCAAGATGTGCACTACTTGGTCGTACTAAGTGCTCATTATGTGGGCTATTCAGAAGTTCATTTCTGTTGTGATGATCAGGACCTGGTCTTGGGAAATGGTCTTTAGATACAGTTCCCAAATGCTCATTTGAAGCAGGGTCTATATGATCATTATTAACACGATCAAAATGTTCATTCCTAGCATTTCCAAAATGATCATGATTTGGACTAACCATGAGTTCACTTGCAGACTTATTTATATGTTCATGGCTAGATCTGCCCATATGATCTCCTCCTCTATTTGACATATGTTCATTATTTGATCTTCCCATATGATCACTACCAGGCTGAACCATGTGATCATTATTAGGTCGGGCCATTAATTCATTCGTAGATCTACTCATATCATTTACAATATGATCATTATTTAAGCTGCCTAAATGTTCATTACCAGGTTGTGTCATATGTTCATTGCTTGGTCGTCCTAAATGTTCTCCAGGTCTTCCCAAGTGCTCTTCTATATGAGATGCTCTTGCCATATGCTCCCCAGCAGGCCTACCCATATGATCATTAGTTGGCCTGCCTAAATGCTCATTATTAGGCCTACCTAAATGCTCACTGTTTGGCCTACCTAAATGCTCAGCGTTTGATCTAGCTAAGTGATCATTCGTTCTAACCAAATGGTCACTGCTAGTTCTATTCATATGCTCAGTACTTGGTCTCCCCAAATGTTCATTTCCAGGTCTTACCATGTGCTCATTTCCAGGCCTGCCCATGTGATCATTACCTGGTCTTCCCATATGATCATTATTTGGCCGACCCAAATGATCATTATTTGGCCTTCCCATGTGATCACTGTTTGGTCTGTTCAAATGATCATTATTTTGCCTATTTAAATGGTCAGCATTTGGTCTACCCATGTGATCATTCGTAGGCCTTAACATTTGTTCATTTACATGCCTTCTCATATGTTCATTTTGCCTTAGAATCTGCTCATTATTGAGACGTGTCATGGGGTCACTACTAGGCCCACCAAGGTAATTATTACTTAATCGCCCTAACTGACCACTTAAAGATCTTTCTATGTGTTCATTAACATGTCGATTTAGAGTTTCATTTCCTAATCTACCTACTAAATGGCCATTAAGTGACCTACTCAGAAAATCATGACCTGGTCTACCCATATGCTCATGTAAAGATCTATATAGCGCTTCATTTCCAGATCTACCAAAATCATTTAATGCTCTCCCCAATAATTCATTCCCTTGCTTGCTAAATGGATCATTAGGTTTGAATGATGAATTCCCAGCTTTTATCAGATGATCATTTATAGTCCGTAAAGAAACTGGATTTTCTGTCTTACACATAGGATCATTCAGTGGCCTCACCGAATGATCATTTATTTGCTTGTTTCCATGTTCACTATTTTCTTGTTTATACAAATTTTCATTCATTTGTCTCATAGAAAGATCATTTGCCTGTTTAGCTAAATGCTCATTAAGTTGTTTTAATGACAGATCATTTGGAGGTCTGCCGCGTCTATTCACTGACAATGTTGGAGTTGTGCCAACAACGGATTTATTTGCCCCTGTAATTCCTCGATTAACATGGTTGGCCATATGACATTCTAGACTTGATCTTGTAACAAAAGATTTACAGCATATACCACACTGATACGGTTTATCAACATCTGGTGGACGGCAGTGCAATTTCATATGGGTCTTCATATTACCCTTTTGAGTGAAACACTTTCCACATATTTGGCAAGCATGATGTTTTTCCCCACTGTGAGACCTCATATGAGTTTTCATATTGCCTTTCTGAGTGAAACATTTACCACAAACAGCACACTTATAGGGTTTATTACCTGTATGGCTATTCATGTGATATTCCATACTTAATTTTTGAGCAAAAGTCTTCCCACAAATCTCACAGGAAAATGGTTTAATACCCTTATGGGATAAAATATGAGTATTTAAATTACCTTTCAGGGTGAAACGTTTCCCACAAACTTCACACTCAAAGGGTTTTTCTCCATAATGAGTTCGAAGATGAGTCTTCATATTTCCTCTCTGAGCAAAACCACGACCACAAATTTCACATGAGTACGGTTTAGTTCCTGAGTGAGAGATGAGATGTGTTTTAAGATTACCCTTTTGTGTAAAGCTTTTGCCACACAAATCACAACTGAAAGGTTTTAAACCTTGATGTATACTTCTGTGATAATCCATTGTTGATTTCTGGGTAAAACCTTTCCCACAGACTTCACAGTTAAATGGCTTTATTTTTGAATGGCAGAACATGTGATTTTTTAAATTTCCTTTTTGCGAAAATTTTTTCCCGCAAACTTCGCAGGGAAATATTTTCGCTTTTTTATTATCTTCCCTTTCAGACTGACCAGCATTCGAGCTCGGATTGACACGATTAATATTACCATTAGATGGTGCTGTTGTTAAGTAAGAATTTTGGTTTGGAACTTCACCTTCTGTGCGTGCTGTACTGCTTGGAATTGAAAGCATAGGAGGTTTTTCCATCATCGGATGATCACTGAAAATGCTATAAGCGTAAGCACATGAGCTCATCGCAATAGCGGCAGCCAGGCTAGGTACTTGGGTCGGTAGATCCGAAGGTAAAAAGTTATGTTCCATCGTGAATTTCTTTTTAGAAACTGTATTTTAGGAATAATAAACCAATAAGCATAGTTTATCAACACACGGGAAAACATTAAAGCACAAAAACCTTTTTTCGCGAAATCCGCGACACACAATAAACAATGGGCGAGTGGATCCTACTTCTCAGAAAAGTTGATCGACGCTAATTAGCCTTTTTACACATTTTAAAGTTAAAAAATTAGATCATTGATGCAAAAAACATGCTGAAAACACTATTTACAAATGATTCTGTCACATAATGAACAAAAATAACAGCCACTACACATAAACAAAACCAATGGCACCCTATAACTCCATATCGATAAAAGCCATCAGATGAGTAAAAAAAACGCTTTGAAAAAACTAGCTGGTTTGCTTGTTCACAAAAGCTAATGCCAGTTCTGTCAGTTTCAAAGTATTATTTGTAACGTTAACGGAAAAATATGTTTTAATTTGTTGAAACCCTGTATTTAGAGCATAATATATTTAAAAACAAAAGTTTCATTTTTCTCTTTATAACAAAAAGAATCTTAATTATACTCTAAAGTTGTATATTAATGGCGCATGATACAGTTTTTCCTTTACTGTGATTGGTTGATTTTCTTTTCAAGCTATCAATAATAAAAAGCAAAAGTAATCTAACGTACAAGGTATAAAAATGAAAAACAGTATATATAAAATGAGCTACTTACGAATTTTAAAAGGTAAAATGCACATATACTTAACCACGAAGACATGTAAAATTACGCCCGTCTGAGTCCTGTTGTATTGATTTAACTGCAATACTATTGCCGCAAAATTTCGAGACCACTTTTGATTTTCATTCGTAGATGATGAAAATTTATGAACATAGATGATAATAATGTTAAACACTAATTTAATTTGACTCACTTATTGATATGAAATCAAGCGTCAGATTTTTTAAGGAATATTATTTTACAGACTGATTAAAATCACAGCGAATAATTTTTTTTTTTTTTTTTTCGTATTTATAGAAGATAATTTTATGAGCTCACAAATTACCACATATAATGCACATCGGATTTTAAATTTGTGTGATTTAAATCCAAAATTATTTTTTTTTCCTTTGAAACATAATATTGCGAAAATTCTGGAAAGTGGTAAACTTTATATAAAATATTTGAGGAAATAAGAACTTCTGACGAGATATTTATAGAAAATAAAAACTCACGAACGCTAAATTCTAACCCAGCATGATGTTACCAAAACTAATAAATAAAAGCAGATATTTAGGTAATTACATAAATGAGTATAAATTACATTAAATATGAGTATTTTAATTACCGTTCAGGATGAAACGTCTCCCACAACCTTCACACTCAGATGAATTTTCTCAATAATGAGTTCGAAGATGAGTCTTCATATTTCCTCTCAGAACAAAACCACGACCACAAATTTCACATGAGTATGGTTTAATTCCTGAGTGAGAGATGAGATGTGTTTTAAGATTGCGTAAAACTTTTCCGTAAACCTTTTGCTGCACGATTCACAACTGAAATCACAACTTGGTGAATACTTCTATAATAATCCATTGTTGATTTCTGAGTAAAACATTTAAAACAACTCTTAGAATTTGAAACAACTCTTAGAATACATTTAGCTTCAAAGATGTGTTTTGAGCAATCAAGACTTTAATGCATTCCTCTTTGAAAATTTTCGTCCGGGAAAAGATGATAAAAATTAGACTGAGGAATTCTGTGTAGAAAATTTAGACATGAAATAAGTTAAAAGCGATTACAGCAACTATTAAATGAATAATTAATCGTATAATACTGGTTATTAACAATTTTGTATGACTGTTTATTTTTTTTATGGAAATAATTGGCATTTTCAAGACACAAAAAGTACTTCAAAGAAATTAGAAATATTAGTACAAACACATTACTAAATTAAATTGAAATAAATAATCGGATGTAATTTAAAAGACGGAAATAATTTAATTTTAGAGATTTAGATTTAAAAATTTGCACACACAAATAATTTATCAGATTTTTTTTTCATAAATAACTTGGATTTTGAAATATGGCATTTGAACCTATAAACATGTGTGGATACTGAAAAAGTGATGAATATATAAGAATATTATAATTTTCAGTAAGTTTTCTTATTGAATAATAAATTCTGTTAGTCCTATGCTATAAGACTAGGGTCTAAGTTTTCATAAAAATTCCTCTGTTAAATAAAAGAATTTAAGTAATTTCTGTAGCCTTTTGACAATACATTAAAGATTTTTAACTAGTTACACGTCCTCGCTTGCAATTAGAACCATTACCAAATCCCTATTTTATCTAATCATTTCCTGAACATTATCATGTATATAGATTGACCTCGTCTCTGTATCTGATAATTATTACTTGCAATCTATTCTTTTGCTAGTGAACTGTTAACAACCCTTTCTATTGCCGCAGTGGCTAATCGCACCACCTACGTTCGCGCATGCGCACAATCAGCCCAGGTACCAGCATTTTACGCCGATTTCCGTAAGGCAGGCGGTAGCGAGAGCGAAGGTGGTTAACCGTAACTCAGCAATAGAAAGGGTTGTTAATAGTTCACCAGCAAGAGAATAATTTGCAAGTAATAATTATCAGTTACAAAGACGAAAATTTTCAAAAAGGAATGAATTAAAGTCTTGATTGCTCAAAACACATGTTTGAAGCTAAATGCATTCTAAGAAGTACAAAAAGATGCAAAGAAGATTTTGTCCATCCCCCCTCAAATCAGTCATTTAAATTATTCCAACTGTTCAGGAAAACGATAAACATTGCGAACATAAAAATCTACTCTTTTTTTATATATATTTTAAGAAAAGGAAATGTGTTTCTTCTTTTTATAAGAAAAGGAAACCCATTTTCCTTTCTAAACTTTTAAAAGTCGCCAACGCTTAAAAAATGATAAACTACGCCAAGGTAGTAACACGTCTTTAAAAAAAAAAAAAGATTCACTACAACACTTAGGCAGTTCGCGTACGTAGAATCCGTTCTTTTCGATTGGGATCAAATGACGGATCTGACAACTCAATGCGCATGCATGGTTAATGTTGGTGCGAATAGCTTAAGCGGATAATCGCACCGCTGGTGGGAATATCATCGGCCCTATTTCAAAAGATGAGAGAAACACCAAAGCCATTCCTTTTCCAGCAAAATAATGAAAAACAAAAACAAAAAATGATTGTCAATGAGAAAAGAGAGAATGCTAGAAAAATATGAGAGTATGGAAATAAATTTTAATGCAGATGTGTAACTTCGGAAACAAAGAGAGAAGAATCTAACTCTTTCTAACCTTGTAAGGATCTTAAGTTTTACTAACGTTTATTTTATTTTAAATCTTTACTATCACTTCTTATTTTCTACTTCCGGCCAGAATTAAAAGCGTTAACTTATTTATGCAAAATTTGTCTGGCGAACGCCAAGTACTTAAGTTGTGGCTTTTTGCCAAGCGACAGAGAGGAAGGAGTTAGTCGAAGCAGGCCGCTTGCCTTAGAAGTTTTACTCGGTTGCTGTTTGCCTTCCAGGCCAGAGGTTTAATCCTCGTGATAATTTTTTAACGTATTGTAGTGTTAACAGTTCTCTGTACTACATACGGCTTCCTGTTAATATCCGGCCAATCGTACACGTAGGCCCTTGTTGATTATTCCAAATTTAAGTTAGAGTTTAGTTATATTTTATATTCTTACGTTCAGACCACAAGTAGTTGGTCTCTGTATTCCGAAGTACGGAAACTATTGTAAAGAGTGAAAAATAAAGGGTTTTGTATACCCTTCCTGTGTATCTTGTCTACTTCCCACAGTTATTGAACATAGCTTTAGTAAGCTCCCTGTTCCGAGTCAGGTCCTTGCATGTTCCCAAAGAAAGTAAGACGGAACATTGAACCTGATAACCTCGAAGACCTGCCGATATAATTCTAGCTGTCAAGCTGAATACGAACGCGCGGAAATATTTTCCCCGAATACGATCCGATTACAGCATGAGAAGAAACAAGGTTTGCACAAGTGAAAATTTTTGCCCCCCCCACAACGCATTTAATTTAATAGTCCACGTCCGCAGGAGCTCTGCAGTTAGAAGTCACTAGCGATGGATGTGCATGAGCAAGGTAACCGTGCACTTTCATTACTTTCGGGAGCAAAACATTTAAACCTCTCTCATAAATTCATTGCGCTTACCTGGAGAATAAGTCTTTAACATATGGATAGAGCTTTTAATTCCTTAAAAGTGTTAACCTCCGTCAAAGTGTTTGCTTCCCAGAAAAAGACATGCATCATTCGGACATCATAATCAATTTTTAAGGCATATTTATTTTTAGAATAAAATTTATCTTCTGAAACCGTGTTTCACTTACATAAAGAAGGGCCGGAACCCTTTTATTTAGTGCTTCGGTAGAATTACGATTTACCTCAGAAAGTGAGGAATACTGTAGCCGGGGTCCGGTACGCTCTGGCGCCATTTAAGCTTTGTTTACTAACAAAAGATTTAATGGATAGCTAATTGGTACTTCTACTACATGTCAGTTTTTGTGGTTAATTATGGTTATTGTTTTAAGTTGATATGTTGCCCTTTATGAAACTTCAGCAGTTTATGCGAATTTTGATGACTAATTGCTGGCGTCATTTTAAAACGAAATCCCTTCATTTACCTAACGATATGTTTCTTTAACAAACAGGAGACGTTTTGACACAGCTGGATTAACCATTAAACAAAATAAGCAAGCAGGCAAGCAGACGTCAAAGAAAGAGCGTCAAAGAAAAAGGAAACCACAAAAAATTTCCACTGCCAGTTTTACCACGGATTGGCGTAACTAAACCAAGACCGAGAGCGAAGAAATAGCGGAAAACAGACGTAAGTATATGAGAGAGTACCGAAATCATTTGGCATCTAAAACTTTCAATCGGCCTCTGGGTTTTCTGCTTTATTCTGTAGTACTTCTATAAAGAGCATAATAAGGCGCAAATTCTATGACAGGAATTCAAGCTTCAACATTTATATCATTAAGACACAATAACACGCCGAATAAATACTTATTCAGAAGTCAAACAACAAAAATCAGCGTTAATTTACAAAATTTTCACAGGACTAGTTTCGATGGTTTTACCGAACCATCATCTTCAGCTGCAAAACCGCAAATGAACAAGATAGGAAATAATGTTTAGATAAGATAAGAAAGCCTGGACAAGAATAAGCAAGTGGCGCCATCTGTTGGCGAAACCAGAACTAAAACATAATTTCTCTAAAAGCCAAAGGCAAATTTGGATTGGAATTAGGATCGTTAACTAGAACAGAAAGATTTTTATGAATGTGAAATGCCTCTAGAAAATCCAGTTCTCCAATGGAAGATATTTTTTTGAATAATTTTGGCAGCAGAAAAATTGAAAGTGTGATTTTCGGACCAACAAATTTTGAGCAATAGAAGACTTCTGTGTTTCCTTTTTTCTAACATATGCCTCGAGGCATATGTTAGAA